GCCCTCCCTCCCTCCCTCTCCCTTCCACTCTCTCTAAAAATCAATGGAAAAAATATCCTTAGTGAGGATTAACAAACAAAAAATAAAGAGTTACAATAAATTCTTGATAGGCTGACATAGGATTAGTAAAGTTAGAGAAAATTATGAAGCATCTCTGAACTCCTGAGGCATCAAGACATTCAAAAAACTTTCTTAAATGAAGGTGAATTAAATAAAAAATGCTGTAATATTTTTACTTTATGTACAACTTGAGGGAGGGCACCAAAGTACAGGGAAACGTAAGGACACATCACTAAACTGAAGAAATTTCTAAGACGGTGAGTTTATATGGCAGAGGAACAAGTGGTAAGAGCCAGAGCAGCGGCAGGGAAGTGTGGTATTAGGACACAAGTGAGGAAGTCGGAGAACAAGCTACCTTTTATTTGTTTAAGCGAGGCCTATGTCACAGGTTAATTATCAGGCTACCTACAAATACCTCATAGTTTATATTCTAGAAATGATCCTGTGGATATGGCCTTGCCCAGACATGAAGCAGCAGATAAAAGGAAATGTCATCCTTGAAGAGAATGCAGTTGGAGGTACGCACATAATTTTCTCTTTCTGTTTCAGTTTTCAGATGTTCTATATTTTTGTAATAATGCTCTTGGTTTGGCTGAGGTGAGACTGGGTAAAAGAAATGGAAATGTAACATGAACAGAAGACAGCAGACCCAGCTTCTCTCTTTTTACCCTGTCAGCCAACAGTTTTACCTTTCCCACTGAATCAGCAAGAAAGAATAGCTCTGAAAACCACACAAAGAGGTGCTTTTCTTTTTTATGACAGAGAGAGTGCCACATGGCTGGCTCCTGCAAGCCTTTGCTGCCCTGGGCTACAGATGCACGCTGCCAAGGCCCCGGCCTGGCCCTGGGAGAAAGCCTCCCCCTCTAACCCTTTGAGGGTCACTATAGTAGGATTTTGACTATAAGCAACTGAATACGTGGAGGCCAGTTTATAAAAGGGAATATTTTAGGTCTTTGATGTGATTGCTAATGTTTCAAGTTCTACAGATTTACCTGTTTCGGAAGTTCAGCCACTATGCTGAAACTTCAGCTGGGTGAACAAAGCTTAGAAAAGCTTGAGTTTAATGGTACTGATGCCTGACAATGCGAAGATAAACTGTTCATACAGATAATTTTTCTGGTAACAGAGTAAATATATGTTCAATGCAGAAGAAGTTGATAATCTATGAACTAACCGAAAGGTAACCACTGTGAACATGTGGGTGAACATTCTTTCGAGGAGCACAGCGGAGGAGTGTGGGTACGAGACCAGATACTCCAGATGCAGATCTTACGTGAAGCACTCGAGCACACACAGCTGGGCACAATTTGTGTGGACAACTATTTAATTGCACGGAACCTCAGTTTTTTCTCATCTGTAAAATGTAAGTAAAAACAGTTCCTATCTCATAGGGTCTGGTAAGCATTAAGTGAGGCAATATTTGCAAAATGCTGAGAACAGAGCTTAGCATATAGTAAGTGTATAAGAAGGGTTTCTATTCTTTCTACACTAAAGGTTACATACACATTTCTTATCCATTATATGGTTTCATGTCATAAATGCTGTTTTTTAGCCTGCTTTGGTCACTTAGGAATGGGTCACAAACATTTTCCTATGATAGCAAGTATCTTTTCACTACATATACAGGACCCCTGGGAAAGCTGCTGTAGATAGTACCTAAGCACAGATTGCTATGCTTACATAGCACATGAACTTGCCACTCTCAGCACAGCTAGAGGAATCCTATACAATAAAAGGCTAATATGCAAACTGTCCCTTCGACCGGTAGTTTAACCAGGGGGCGGGGCTGGCCAGCAATGTCCGAGGCCCCTCCCCCGGGCCGGCCCAGACCCCATCTGTGCACAAATTCGTGCACCAGGTCTCTAGTAAGAAATAAGCAACTGGGCAAAGGTACGGCAGACATCTTCAAAATGGGCAGAAGCTGATGAGGTGGCCTGGCAGCTTTGCCCAACAGTCGTAACTAGGCAACACCAATCAGATCCTCTCTCAGGAAGACTGAAAGTGAGATACACAGAATCAACTGACAGATGAGTGGTGCACAGGGAGGAAAAATACAAAACGAAAAGTGGCAAGCAGGAGCCAGGAGACTGAGACGCGGTTAAGAAGTCAGCTCCTTGCCGAAACCGGTTTGGCTCAGTGGATAGAGCGTCGGCCTGCGGACTGAAGGGTCCCAGGTTCGATTCCGGTCAGGGGCATGTACCTGGGCTGCAGGCACATCCCCAGTAGGAGATGTGCAGGAGGCAGCTGATCGATGTTTCTCTCTCATCGATGTTTCTGGCTCTCTATCTCTCTCCCTTCCTCTCTGTAAAAAATCAATAAAATATATTAAAAAAAAAAAAAAGAAGTCAGCTCCTTCACAGTGGAAGGGAGGGACTGGGTCACGGGTGCAGTGATCAGGCTGCTTGAGCTACAGACATCCCCACTGTCATCCGCCCACCGCGAGCGAGCCCCGCCTGTGCACGGTGGCCCATGCTTTCATCTCTGCACAGCCTGGCTGGGCAGGTGCTGCGACACTGTTATTTTCTTCCTCATTTAACTGAAGGACTGGTAGATACACTTACTCCTAACAACCTGAAAGTGCATTTATGTGGCTGCTCCAGTTGTCACTTCAATAATAGTAAAACTGTAAAATACAAAAATTGTATTTTCTTTTCTTTTTTTAATCCTCACCCAAGGAGTGAGGATATTTTTTCCATTCATTTTTAGAGAGAGTGGAAGGGGGGAGGAGTGGAGAGAGAGAGGAGAGAAAGAGAGAGAGAAACATCAATGTGAAAGGGACATATCAATTGCTTGCCTCCCACACACACCCCGACCTGAGGTAGGGATCAGACCTGCAACTCAGATATGTACCCTTGACCAAGAACCAAATCCGAAACTTTCTGGTGAGTAGGTCAATGCTCTAATCACTGAGTCACCAGTCAGGGCAAAAAATTATATTTTCTTGAGCACTTGCTTTGTGTTAAGCCCTGGGGATTCAACAGTGAGCAAGAGAGAATGGTACCTGACTACACAGAGCATCAAGTCTAGCACAGAAGACAGCAAGCAGTACCAATAAAGGATGACAGACACCATCATGCTGGAAGTACAGACTGCAATGGACACGCAAGAAGAACAAATCTGGGGGGATCACAAAGACTTGATGAGGGAAGTAACTTTTAGAGTAAGGCAAAAGAAGTGTAGAATTTAGACCTGTTCTAAGTGCTATTTTATATGTTCTTAGAATCAGTATTACATCCCCTGTGGAACAAGGAAATGGATCTAAAACACTGTGTGGTGAGGGGAAGTAAATGGGGGTGATGAAACTTATACCACCAATTAGGAATCTAACTGAGATAACAGAAGCAGAGCAGAGGATGGTGTTGCCACAAGAAACTGTGGAGTAACATTAGTTCCTTCCTCCTGGTTTTGAATTGCAATCTCTCAGTTTCTACAACCTAACTGTAAGCTCTTGAAGTAGGGGAGTAAGGGTCTAAGGCTTTACTTCTTCTGACTACTTATTCTAGAGTATCTAGTTAGATATACAGGGCATGGCTCAGAAACTTGAAGCATGTACGTTGAATATCATCTGACTAAAATAAAATAAAAAAGATACTGTTATCTCTCGAGCTGTACCATTAACAGCTTCTGGCTAACAGAAGTGTTGCTTTAGCCACTGCTCAACAGCCAGGACCCAGGGAGCACAGGAGAACAAGGGCTGCCACCTCCTCATCCAAAGGCTAATGAGAATGAGCCGTGTATACCAAGGCTGCCTGTTCTTCTCAGTTCTTAGGGCTGATGAACTATTTGATTCCTGATCTTCTGCCACAGGTAAGAGATGCCACACTGGAAGAGACCCCCGGGAAACCACAGGGCTGTCTAGTATAATTAGACACAGTGACTCTGTGAGAACCCTTCCTGCGTAGAGGGGTGCCTGATAAACACTACCCTGTCACAACCTGATCTCCGCATTAATCAAGGAGGCACATGGTAACTGTCAAATGCCTTCTTTCTATGATCATCAGTATGTTTATCAGACACACAGGTTCGCGATTACAGGGTACGCCGTGCTCTTTTTTCTCAGTGCATACCTCCTCGCAGACTTCCCGGACTGCTGCCACGCTTGGCTCCTCCTCAGGCTCCATGCCTCCTCCAGGGACAATCCACCGGTCTGGATGGCGACTACTGCTCACCAGTAGCACCTGAAAACCACACAGGTCACATGGGTGGTTAAAAACTCAAAAGATACATTCATACAAATTCAGAGTTTAAACGCCATAAAAGTAAAAATACCTAAGACCCCTTTGTTTATACCTCTCCAAATCACTTCTTGCAAGGCAGCTTTCATTTCTCTTTGAAAAAGTAGGCCATCCGCCTAGCAAAAGCAGGAGGGCATCTAAACCAATGGCCATTACCCCTGCTTTCCCTTCGGATTCTGTCCATTGTTCCATCCATCTCTCCTTCATTCCTTTCTCTAAAACCCACTGGACACAGCTGACAAAAAATAGAGATTGTCTATGATGAGCTTGTGAGTGCTGTGAAGGGTTGGCCAGAAGGAAAGACGCCTTGGCCACGGTTGCTACCACAGTCCCAACACCTTCCCTTCTGTGTCCTAGCTCCTGCTCCATCAGATGGCCACAGGCCCGTACAACGTGCCACCCTAGGCCCTACGTGTGCACTGAAAACCTAATTCTCTCATCTGCATGAAAAGTAGAATATTTCTTTTCATCATGCTTTCAGCTGAGATAAAACTGAAATTTTTTACTAGGAAATTTTAGTAAGAAGTGAAAAGCAAAGCACACAAAGACACAGAAATATTGATATAGAATTCAGTTTACTAATTCAAACTTAACCAGCATTTTATTTATTATTTATTTAAAATTCTTTATTGTTTAAAGTATTACATATAGTATTACATATGTCTCCTTTTCCCCCCATTGACCTCTCCCTGGCCACCCCCACCCCTAACAAGCATTTTAGTCAAGGCTAAAATAAAATCTGGAATTTCCCTAGTCCCTCTTCCTTACCCCTCTCTGGGACACATGCTCAACAAAGTTAGCTGCACTCATTTGGGAGTAGAGTTAGGTTGGCATTATTTCTAAAACGAAAGGAATCCTCAACTGCTCCTTAAACCATCACTTTCTGATGATGTCTTTTGAGCCTCCATCCTTATCGCATGGCTCAGAAACTTGAAGCATGAACGTTGAATATCATCTGACTAAAATATCGCAAACCATATTCCTTACCTACCCCTTCACTCTAGTCCACCCTCAGCACTTAACTTCTACTCTGCAGTCATCTTTGTTGCCTAAAAGAAATACTACTTCCTCTGTAGCCTTTACAGATTCCACCACTGACTTCCAGTTACCTACCTTCCAGTCATCTCCTCTCTCCCCCTTGGGGTCTCTGCATCTATGAGGCCTTGGAAATTTTACCCTTTTCATCATCCTTAATCCCCTTACTACCTGTCATCATAGATATTCTGATGCTCCTCTACAAAATCTGTGATCTGCACGCCTAAGGGGACCAAAGAGTTACAAGAAGTAAATTCATGAATCCATATATAGCCACCAATATATAGCCTATGGACTGAGAAAATGTGCTACACTTACAAGTACTATTTTTTTAAATATATGTAACTTCTGCTCTGATTAATACAATGCAAAAGAAAATAAAATCCACAGTGGCTTTTGGTTGGTATGTATATATGTTTAAACCAGGAGATATTAAAAGTACAATGTGGAGGTTTCATGAAAATTTTTTTTTTATTATTATCACTTTTTTTTTAGGGTTGGCAGACCCAGCTGAGACTTTATTTTGGAAAAAAAACCACTTGATTTGGCTTTTAGTTAGGGGCATGGGTAAGAGGCAGTCCCCCAGGCAGTAAACTACCCTACCCCAAGGCGCTGTCCCTTGCACAGCTTTTTCCACAGGCTTGGAGGACAGGAGGGCCACAGTAGTCAGTCACTTGGACAGGACATCCAATGACTTAGACACCAGCTTCCCATCAGGGTCTCAATCTTCTTCACAACCACCATTCTGAAGGAGCTGGTGCTGGTGCGGCTGAAGGAGCCAGGACCCCTGCCAGAGCCCAAGTTGGGCTGAAAGCCCAGGCCATAGCTGAGGTTCCGATAAGCCAGGCTCAGCTCATCTGATAGCGAGTGGTGGTGTTGGTATGGACACTCATGTTCTGAATCCGACTCTCCAGTTGGTTCTTCTCACCATCCAGCAGCTTGGTGTAGGTGGCAATCTCCATGCCCAGGGCCAGCCTGATGTCCATGTGCTCCTCCTGGTACTCACACAGCTGCCAGTTCTCAGAGTGGCTTCCAGCTCAGCCACCTTGGCCTGAGCATCCTGGACAGCCAGCTCCCCATGCTTATCAGCATCAGCGATAGCAGCCTCCAGGGAAGTCTTCTGGCTTTTGAGGCCCTCGATCTCAGCCTGGAGTTGGCTGATGTTCTGGTTCATCTTAGTCTTGCCCTAGCCATTCTGGCCCAGTGGATAGAGCGTCGGCCTGCAGACTGAGGGGTGCCAGGTTCAATTCCAGTCAAGGGCACATGCCTAGATTGTGGGCTCAATCCCCAGTAGGGGGTATGCAGGAAGCAGCCAATCAATGATTCTCTCTCATCATTGATGTTTCTCTCTCTCTCTTCCTTCCTCTGTGAAATCAATAAAAATATATTAAAGAGGAAGGAAGGAAGGAAGGAAGGAAGGAAGGAAGGAAGGAAGGAAGGAAGGAAGGAAGGAGGGAGGGAGGAAAGA